GAGGGAGGCGCCGAGATACTGATGGTTCTCTGAACAGGCCTTGCCATCAAATCATTGCTGGTGCCAAGCGGGATAAACAAAACCGCGGGTAACGGTTAGATCGCCAGGTGAACGGTGGCACAGCAAGTTACCATTTTGAGATTCGGGAATATAGGCGGGTCCTGAGGGGGAGGGGGCGAGGACGATGGATCTTTCGCCCCTCCTCCTCCCCCAGCGGAACAGGCACCAGTGTTGCAAAAGCCCGGGTCTAAAGCCAAAAGGAGTCCCACCCCAGATGCAGACCCTCCCCCCCCCTTCTCTCGCCCAAACAAGTACCCAGGACCCGCCAAAGAAAAGTACTGCGAACTACCGGAAGCCAGCCCCGCCCGAACCGTCCTCACTGCGAAACACTAGCAACTAGTAAAAGTGGCTATTACTAAAAATCGGCTTAGCTCGTCGACTTCGTACACGACCTGCAAACGCCCGGCCGTCGCCCTAGCTTCTCTGCTGCACGCTATTTCGCGGCGTTGGCTTACGGGGCTCCTGGCACACTGCCAGGAGCGTTGGGTAGCGCTGCCCAGTGCACTAAGGGAGAAACTCGTAGTTGGGGAGAGTTAGCTTCGCTGGAGGATAGCGGTGAGTGGGTACCCGGATGCAGCTCCTAGTACACGGATTAGGGCAAGATAGGGGAGAGGAACAACAAGAGGGTCTGGTGGGGAGCATGGAACAGGAATGTATGCGACTTAATGGACCGAAACATTTCTATTCAGATTTTATTCCGATTTAACTTATTCACATTCCTTTTTATTCCCTTACTTTCATACCCTTACTTTTTACATAAACACACATCATCTAAAATTAAAATTACAATGGAACAATTGATTCATGGTAACAGTGGCTGGGGGTGGTGGGTGATCCCTCCTGAAAGCCGCTATGGAGGCAAAATTTGGGGACAAGATGGAGAAGGGGAACAGGGGTGATACGCAGGAGCTCGAGGCAGGGACTGGAGACAGTAGTAAAGGATAAGAAACAACACGGCAGTACAAAGAAAATTAAAGAAAGCACGAAATTATGAAAGAAAAAACAGAGAAAAGCGAAACCAAAGAATCGGAACCTATGAATAAAAGCGAAACAAAGCAAATGCAAATAAAAATCGAGGAAGCAGAAGCAAAAACCAACAAAAAACTTGATAAACGGAAAACTTATAGGTGAAATTGTCTTATAAAGCCCATCTGCTTTCAGGGCTTCCCTGTTCATGAAGCTGATGCTTAGGTGAGGCTGAAAGTTCTCAGCTTTGCCCATGCAACTTTATTC